GCAATAACTTGCTTCATTTCCGTCAAATTCAAAAAGTTGATACGTCATACAAAACTAGAAGATTTTCTCTATCCAAACGGTTGCTAAAGCAGCTTCATACGTCCAGTATCAAAAAATGGCCACGTTGAGGATTTCTGCAAAATTAACGAGGAAAATTTGTGATGAGTGCGAGTTTTTACTTCCTAAAGCCATAACTCCGTTCAAACTCATCCAATCCAAAAAGTAAATACGCCATCATAAACTAGAAGATTTGCTCTATCAAATGCTACTAGAACTGCTCCAAACGTCCAGTATTAAAAAAACGGCTACGTTGAGGATTTTCGCACGAGTACCGCCGAAAGGCACTTTTTCGCTACATTGGCACTATTTCAACGGCTGTATATCCTTTTAAGGGCGATTATGTACTAAAGTAAGAGCAGATTTGGAATCACTGCTTTTCTCTTTCTAAGAAAAGTGATTGATTAGCGTTTCTCAACTTTAAAGGTTACATGTTTATAAATTTAACCCTGAAGAGTCCGTTAACGCAATGTTGAATGGTGTACACCTCCCTGTAAATGCGCACGGACACTTTCAGAATTCTCTCGATTGTTCCTGAATTGAGGTTGTTTGTCCAAGGAGCCGTAGTTGAAGCGCGCGCAACAACTAGACCCTTTCTCGGATGCGCCGTGTACCTCACATCCCTTCAGATTCGGGGTCTTACTTGAAAGATGAAATATCTCTTGGAAAGCGTGCGAAATTCAGATTCTTTAACTTGTGTGGTGATAAAACACTGAAGTAACTAAGAATTACCGGACGCCTCAGAATCACGAAAATTTTGTGTGGGTGAAATATCATTTTCATTGGAAATCCTCTGGCCTGGCATCGACTCATCCTTGATATTTGTCTTCCGACGGTGATGATCCCACTGCATCAAAATGGCTCGATCTCTTCCACCCAGCGGGCCAATACGACCCCCCCCCCCCTGCGACGTGTCGAGGATTCCTCAACGCACGCTTGACCCTGCTCCCATATCCAAAAGCCTTAGTGAAAATTTAATATGTAAAGAGCATGCAGAGCAATATGACCTGGGCTCGCTGAGATGAAAAAAAATTTCCGAATTTTCCAAAACGGCAGAAGAAGAAATCTACAAAAAGGAAAACAACGGAAAAGATATCAAGAATCCTGTCGGACAGGAGGTTCATACTATTAGCTCAATCGCAAAAGTAGGATACTCCAGAGTGCGCAAAACTATTACTCAACTTTAAAACCTATTGGCCAGGCTGCAATCGCCGTGCATCGGAAGCACTCAACGAATCAAAGTAATCTCCCGATCGTAATGCTTGTCAAGGCTAACAAACCACGGTAAGCTAGGAGAGTGGTGCCACGGATAAACGCTTAGTAAGTGTGTGATGTAACCAGGGACAAATGATCCTGTATACATGTCAAAAATCGGGTCAATGGTGGTCGAAGGAGGGAAAAGTGTGTATCTCAATAGGATGAGGCACCTGAATGTATAGTCCATGTGAGGAAGAAAAGAAAAATGAACCACATGTCCGCTGGACCTTGAAAAGCAAAAGCAGATGTAGCGCTAAACAAGAAATAAGTGAGACATCGAGCATATCGAAAAATCTGACTGTATTCGTAAATAATTTATCAGAAGTAATCAGTTCGAGCGAGGCGGTTAACTCGCTCATATTGCTGGTAGCATCCTGTCCTGACGCCGAATGAGGCAGGTCAGTTCAAACTCTGCTTGGTATTGGCTCTGCCGAACCTCAACGGAAGAATGAATTTGATCAACTCGAGCAGCTCCGGGCAGCTCGCAAGTTCTGGGAGGACAGGTTTGGAATTCTGTCGCTCTTCCTTTTTATCTGTTAACTTCTATCACTTCTCCTGTCCGCACTTTACTTCCTTCCTTTTGCACCTTCTTCGAATCACCCTATATTCTTGCGCCTAGGCGGGTCAGGGAGGTAATGTTAAAAATGGATAACATGCGGCATCAGTAGATCACCATTTCACACCAACACGCCCATTGTGTTTGAATATGTTCTTAGTCCTTTCGTTCCCATATTTTGATCATTCTCATCGCACGTTTTTTCCTATCTCATGCACCTGCACTTCTCCTCCATAGTTTCAAACCGAAGTTTCGCAAAGCTCTCCCCGATTTTTCTATCGTGTGAATCACGCATTTTTTCGGCCGTTTTTGCGAATGTTTCAAAATCGTAACGCTGATGCTCCATGCACTCGACGGTTCCTTTTGTTCTCCGTTTCTTCTTTGTTCTGTCTCTGAAAAACAAAGCGGGCATCAGCTCGCTCTTTGCGAAAGGGGCATTTTGCCATGCTTCGCGTCGGCATATTGCTTTCACAACTATTCAAGCTCACGCGAGTTCTAAATTTAGAAAATAGCTCCAGGGCCTGATGGCCTTCAACGAGAATATGTTCGACATGCTATGCAGCAGTAGCAGCAGCTGGTTGTCAGGAGAGGAGAGCTTAAAAGAAATATTTTGCTGACAGCAACAAGGGTACTCCCCAGAAATTGAATGTCTCCTGATATTTGTGCAATCGATTAGTCTATGCTTACAGTTACTGGGGTCAGGACCTGCTAGTTTTTGTCAGTGCGCGAACTTGATTCTCCATGTTAATAAACAGTTTACATGTCAATACTTACATCGTCGTTTAAAGCTTCTCTGTACTATTTTTTAGCACCTTTGCGTTCATAACCCTTTCTCTCCCCTTTGTTAGCGGCAAGTTCCTGTTCAAGGCTTTCTTATGGCCTTCCTCATTTTTTTTTTACGAAATTATTACTTCACCTTGTTGTTGCTGTCTCCCAGCATCGATCGCTACCGGCATAATGTGTTACTTGGCCTAGCCCGTGGCACGTACGCCCCACACAAGCAAATTGACATACTGTCGCCTAGCGAGAGTTTGCGCAACACCAATTGTCGTGATACGCCAATAGTGGCCATGTGCCCGCCCGTGCCTCACTGGGCTATTGCTCAGTGCACGAAGTGTCGACAAACCTCATTTCTATCGCCCCGTCGACAGCTGTCTGGTAGATACATGTTTCTATGGATTTGTTATGTCTCGTTTTTTTGCCACTCGTAATGCCAGCCGATCCGCCGTTCTCACCCAACGCCATTGCTCCCGTTGTCTCCATGTTTCATAAACATCTGCTCTTTCTTCACCTTGAACATCCTGCATATCAGCTCCGCATTGGCATCCAAGACTTATGGGAACTCAGGGGATCCCACATGGAAGTACGGAAATAGTAGAGTACGTACAAGCGCGGAAATATGTTCCCTACTCTTTTGCTTTTGTACTGTTTTTTCTTCTTTTGTTTATATGGCTGTCATAATTTTTCCGTAAGGAGCGGACATATTCTGCATCTCCCGCACCTGTCGGTTTCTTTTTTTCGTCAACCTTGTTGACGGAGTTTCAGTCTAATGCGGATGTCGCTATCAACGTGAACTTGTCGCATGTTATTTGAGCCATAGCGCCGCCCATTTTTCACAGGGTACTTCTTTCAGATAATTGGGTAATCTGATGGACTCCTCTGTTCCTATTGAACAGCGTTATGCGTCAGTGCCTCCTGCCTCTGCCCAGGGAAATGACCGGGGTATGGTTTCAGATCAAAGAGGTACTGTGACAATCATTCCTTCGCACGCTAGTATCCCACAACATATTCTTTCAGAGTCCCCTGCGACAGCAGATCCCTCTCTACTTTCGGACATGCTAGCTTCCATTGACGAAGAAGGGCCTATGGCCCGACAGTCGTCTCAGCTCAGACTGTGGTTGATCTGCTGATCCCTGCAGACCCTGTCCAACCATCGGGTCTATGAAATCTGCCGCTGTTGTGTCTCAACCACAGTATGTCGAGCCGAAGTCTGAGCTCAAGCTCGATCTCGGTTACGATACCGTTGTTCCTCACGAGACGCTTTTGAATATGTTGCTCCTTCAGGTGAATCGGCCGGAGCTGTTGCTCCTCAACATGAGCCACAAGGAGCTAACGCTCCCCTCCTGACGACGTTCGGCCGTCAACCTCCAAGCTCAAATCGAGAGGCCCGTTACTTCCTACGAGAGCGGGTAGCTCGCCCAGCCTAAGCGGCGGCGGCAAGCCGCTGGCGGAGCAGCGGCAGCGGGACCTCTCGCCTTCTTTCACTCACCACTCGACCGGGCGTCGTGCCAACCGTAAACCGGCCAGCCTAGTCGCAAAGCGGTCGCTTTCTCGTGGTCACTCTGCCAAGTTCACCAACGCCGCGGAGAGGCACTTCCCAAGCCTATTGTCCGGCACTTCCATGACACAACTCGTATTCTTCTTCTCGGACTAAGCCCGTTCCATCAACCACATCCAGATCCTTCGCATTACTTTCCGCTATAAACGTCGAAGCTCTCCTCTGGTCCCATTCCTCTCAGGTGGATATCTCTCTCCCAAGTACGGAGAAGGCTTTCCCACTCAAGTTCCACAAGCAGCCAAGCTCCCGTTAGCGCTTGTCGACTATTTATCTCGAACAGTATTTGTGCTATAGTGTTTCGCCGCTCCTTCCAGTGCGTCAACATGACCCACTCGGGGGTCGGTATGTCATCACCGAGAATTCGCGGCCAGTTACTTCCGAGGGATTAATGCCCTCCATACTAACATCCGTGGTTGAGCTGGGACGCTGAAGGAATTGTTTTCTCTATTTCGTTGAGCTCAACGATTGGGCAGCCCTGCGTGATCCTCTTCTTGCCCTCGAGCAGGCTCGGATACCCAAGGCTACCGCCCTCGATTAGCGGTACCCATATTTCTTCCGGGTACGAGAATGAATTCGTCTTCGTCACTCCCCAACGACGACTCAGCGGACCTTGGCACTGTTCCTGCCTCATGTATGATTTCGCTAAAAGAAGATGTCAAGGGTTTGCGGATTGCCTTTGAAGGCGCACCGCAGACCGTCCCCGTCTCTCCAATTGTCTGCGATTTTTCCCTTCGACAAGTTGAGCAAGACGAAATCGTCGCCGCCAACATCCGTTTTAACGTTTCCTGAGTGATGCGGTTCTCCGAGTCCAGTTTCTCACGATTCTCAGAGGATGCTCTGTTCTTTCGTTAGGAACTCCCTTTCAGCCTATTTCGAGGAAGGCATTCTCCCACTTCGCGTCTTCAAGCCCACCACAAAGGAGAAGATCTTTAAAGTGAAGTGAACCGTGCCGTCAATTCTACCAGCTAGGACGCTAACCCGCGAGTCTCTCAACGCCACATGGCGCACCTATTCAACGCCGCCTGTTCAGCCTAGCTGCCGTCAACTGCTTGATCGATGACAAGCGGACACACATGCTTACGACAACCGTCCCCAGCATGTCCGCTTTCTCCCTGTGGTTTGACTTTACCATCTGGGCATGTCGTCCGAGTGCGGATGGACGACTCAACGTCCAGTCTATCTATGGGTCACTGGTTCTCATTCCCGCGGGAACTGACCCGCTCTACGAGCTCATCTCGAAGCGACAGCTCTTTGCTCGTTTCGAAAACAATTCACGAGTCGCGGTTATCTTAAACGCCGTGTACGGCTCCCACCGTAAGCAATCCTGTTGGCCCTCAGTTTGAGCATGTTGCTGCCTCAGTAGTGGTCGGACCTTTCAACTGCGTCCGGACCAAAACACCGCCCTTCAAATGGGTGATCATCTGCTGCCGATTCTCGTTATACAGGCCGCTTTCAGCACCGAAAAAAGAAGTCGGAGTGCTTATCGCTGCCCGCACGTACGCTTCTTTAGAGCAAGGTCTAACTGCCACCACCGCGACCAACAACGCCGTGGCCCAATTTAGTGACACCTTGCTGCAGCTTGACGACAACAAGGATCAGGCGATCTTGCGGTACGTCTCGGATACAGCCTTGATCGATGGCGCCCCCTAGACTCCGGTCGACCTCCACACGGTACTCAGTCGGAACTACTCGATTGTCTGATGTTCAATCCTAATCTGGCCATCGACGTGTCGGACGCAGAACAGGATGAACATCGACTGACGGAATGCTACATTTCTCAATCGACGCATGACGCGACGACATCATGTTCCGCGTTCGTCCACCAGCTGTCCTCTGCATCACACGCTTGCAGCGGACTGCATCTTTTGTGGCACGCTGGACAAGTTTACCACGACTTATCGGCACGAGGCTTCTCAAATTTCGGAACTAGCCCGGGTAGTCCTTGCCACCCACCTGCCACAAACTCGCCGCATCCACATCCACATCGGTGACCATCACCAGCTGAAACCCCATGCCAGGTGTCTCCGCCCCTCCAACCCTGCCTGTTTTGGTGCGCAAGGCATCATGGGTATTGTGGTCGCCAAAGGCGTTCCGATGGCTCCCCGCACCTTCACTTTCATCCGCTGCTGAATGATTCGCTCAACCGGCTGTTCTACGACCATGCTCTCATCAACGGTACCCGTGTAGAAGACCGTCACATGTTCCTATCCGTACGCTGTCCTGAGCTAAAGCTCCCGTTCCTCTTCGTCGGCGTACCCTGTGCATCCGCGAAGTCTCTTAGTGGATCGCACAGCTGTGAGGCCGAAGCTAAGGCTTGGCGCCAAATTGTTGTTCCCCGGTGTTAACAGGAGAATCCCACCTCGTTTCTTGGCATAATAGCGATTCTTCAAAGAAAAGCTCGCTCAGTTCGCCCCCAACCTCGAGTCATTTGGAGACCACCCCAGTCGATTCCGTGTCGAGAGTTTGGGCAAAGAACAATTTCATCTATCCCACACGGTCGTGGTTCGATGCTGCCAAGGAGAATTTCCAACGCACCTCATCGCTTCATCGTCGCTGCTTCACTTGTCCCGGTCGTGTGTTATAGGTCAACGGAGCAGTTCTTTACAGGTTCTAATACTGGATGCCCCAGTACCTTTTATAGGCGCAGTTTTGTCATTGTCTGCACGGCGTTAGCCGTAAATATCATAGAAATAACGAACCTTTTTATCCTCTGTCCTTAAACCTAGGTGAGCACTGTTTCTGTTGTTGGTGTTTTCGAATATTTGAGTTTCCGGGACGGACTCTTTTTTGGAATGGAAGGTGTACGAGGAAAGAGGCGCTGGAGAGAGTGATACACTAATGTGCTATAACCATACTTTGGTGTTGTCGATGTGGATGTGTGTGTAGTTTGTCACGTCTGGGCCAACCGTAGAAGAACTGGGGGAAGTTCGTGAGGATTGAAATTCGTGATGTTGATGTCACGATTATGAAATTACAGTGCGGCTATATAAACACCGATCGAGCACACTCAGTCTCATTCTACATGGTGCTGCAGTGGCAGCTGGAGGGAACGAAGGAGGGGGCAGGAAAGGGGGAGGGCAGGAAGGGGGAGGAGAGCGAGGGAGAGCGAGGGAGGAAGAGGGAGGGAAGGAGGGGAGAGGAGAAAAGGGAGGGAGGGAGTGTCGTGGCAGCCTCAGGGGCAAGAGGGGAGGGTTAAAGAGTGGGCTGGGAGTGGGAGAGGATGTACGGAGGGAGAACAACCGCTTCAAGAGGGAAGGGCTATATCCGTGTTGACGTATTACTCTAAAGTGATGTTGTGATTCTGATAACACCCACAATGGCTATATAAACACCGATCGAGCACACTCAGTCTCACTATTATACATAAATGGAAGGACTATAGAGGAAGACGTGAAGCTTTAGCAGGGAAGCAAAGTCCCGGCAGTCGACAGGGGATTAATCTGGTAGTAGTTATAAAATAGGACTGTATAAAAAATTAAAAATTACTAATTAAGGTTGTAGTAGCCAAACTAGAAAACTCCCCTAACCATTTATTCTTTTGCTTCCCTTCTCGGGCGGATTCCCCTTACAAGTAGCCGTCTGGCACGAGAGAGTATGTCGGGATGAGAGGCAGATAGTGCGAGAGCATACTGTAGTGACTCATCTGATGCTTCGTACTTAAGGCTTCCGATCGGCGACCTAGAGAGATCTCCGCTGCAACGACTGGACTCGGCCTGCGCCTCCGTCACCCTTCGATCCCTTCGGGCCGTCGCCTCTGGGCCCAACGCCTCCGCCGAAGATCCTCAACTGAAAGATCTCGAAGTCAGCATCATCAATAAATCTGACTGTATTCGTAACTAATCTATCACAAGTAATCAGTCCGAGTGAGGTGTTAAATCACTCATATAACTGAATCAAAAAGTGTTTGAAATATTCTGTTCGAACTCTGGGAGTCTGTAGAATTGCGAAATCTTTCTGATCAATCAGGACGTAGAAGATCGAGTTCCGAAGAGAGAGCTATGCGCCGTCATCATTATGTTTGAGATTTGGATGAGGATGGAAATCTCTCAGAGTTATGCAGCAGCACGTAATCAGTTGAGGATCCGCGTAGTCTTTGACGCTCCGGAACATTACAAGTTATGCGCATCGCCTGTTTTTTTTTTGCAAGGATTCGGTAATCCTCCTACATATGTTCGCAATTCTTTCAAATTGCTATTCAGAAAATTTGTTCGTCGTCGCGGGTTCCATTTTTATTAGTAAGGCCCAATGAAAGGGAGCACGACCCCACAGCACGACCTTCCTGTGGCGTAGGATTATCGGGAACCGCCTAAACGCGACAAAATCAGGAAGTTTAGCTCCACGAGTGTTCATGAGGCTAACTGCCTGACCGCTCCTTGTGGCAACCATTACCCACTCAGTTGCATACTCACTCAAGCGAAAGAGACTTGGTTGACTGGGTAAAGATCGCTCTATGTATTAGGTTGTCCCATAATTAGTGAATCACTTTGGGTATTTTTGAATTCAAATTTTTTTCTTTTTTATGTGGAGTCTTTGCTCATCCAAACATACATCTCTGTCATCTACAATGTATTGCCTATACAAGGAAATTTAGTCGCTGTCTTATCTCTAGAAATCCAGGAGCTATTGATCGAAGAAAGATCGGAAGTCGAGTTTGAGGTCATGTCACTTAGCGTAAAATTTCTTCCTGGAGGAAGAGCGCTAGAGGTCAGACTGAGTTGTCTTTTTGTTGGCACGAGGATAGGGCCACACAGCGGAAGTGAAGGAACTGTTAGCCCAGGAGTCTCTTTTTTTATGAATATTCTCCGCAAGGTGGTCGAACGACCTCAGGAAAAAGCAGACTTTGTCTTGCTTTACTTTCAAATTGAACGCGTCGCCATTACGCTGTAGATGTTGATCTTCTTCAGTGACCCTAGTATTACTGGGCGGCGGTTCCCAGCGCATGGTCACTCTCGTGCTCCACCAATATCTCGGAAGGGTCGGACTCAGAAGGAGGTTCGGCTTTTGCTGTCAGAACTCCCGAATCGTTCATGCTAGGCTACTGCTTTTGGAGATTTGCTAGTACACTCCACCCAGTCCAGAACCCTGGTGAATATGCTGGATGATCACTGTAAGGAACTAAGGGAGATCAGAAGGAACATGATGATGTCAGATCGTGTGTGGAGCTGTTTCGGGCTCAGAGCATACAAGATACAAACTAAATATTTTAAAATCTTTACAACTCTACGTAGATGTCTACATTCCATCATTTTAACAAGTCGGACATGCTCTAGCAAATGGCGACTAGTTTGTCCAGATCCACCCTCAGTGGCGCTGGGTACAGCAGTGAGATTGCCAGTTGAGGGGTAGTTGGAGTGTGGGTCATCTTCAACTAAAAAAGCCAACCTCTCGATAGAGTGAACTACAAGCAGACCGTGGATTGAGGGAGCGTGCCCTCGCCTATCTGCTGGTTGATTCTCTATGTTGTTGGGCGTTTGAAAGATCCTAATCAGAAGTGATTAAGAAGGGAGCTCAAAAATAGGTTCCAGAAAAATTGAAGTATCAGCCACGGAAGGCAGCATGTAAATGGGCTGAGTAATTGCTCAGGTAGGATAATGTGGGTGCTACTTCGCAAAACATGTTTCACGCCTTCACCATTTTTCTTGGATTTTTAATAACAATAAATGTAAAGTGATTCACTAATTATGGGACAACCTAATAGAAAAAGTTTAATTGCTGAAGAAGCCATCCCGAAGCTCATTGAAGGTGCATAAGCGTGAAAAAATGTTCAAAGACATGAGCAGGAACACCAAAATTTGTTTCCAAAGATGAACATTGACTGGCTGGCCTTAATCCAGAAGCCCTTAAAACGAGAAGAGATTTACAGCAGGATTCACAATAGCTCAAACATCAAACACTCACTTGGGCAGTTGCGTTAAGATACGATTGGTTAGTTGATGTCGCTTACAAATGAGCAATTTTTCCAAATTATAGATAGGATATCGCACTCTCGGGTACGGATTTTCAACAGTGTTCTAGATCATCAAGAATATTAAGGATTCGAGAAAATTCTCGCGAGTGATATTGCAGTCAGGTAAAAAGGCCTTTGCCTTTTGCTATTCTGTCTTTGCCGATGGCAGTTAGGAATGAATGGCTGCATGCAGTTACTTGTGGAACCCACCTAAGTCATCTGTTTATGACTTGTGAACTTTCGTCAGCCAAAAATTGGTAAATGCCACCTCATTAGCTTTGCGATTAACGGAAACGGTAACCAAGGAGCTCGGACCTGTGTACACTTTCCCGGCTAGGAAGTTGAATTCACTTTGAAGAGAAATCACATCGATGTGAAGGGATTGTCGTGATCACCAATACGCTCAGAGAAATTCGATTCGTCATTAGTAAGTCAGTAGAGCACCTGCAATTGCTCATGCATGGCGTCTTCTGAGAGCGTGACTTTATTGCCGTATCCAACCGTTTGTGCCATGTGGAAGGCTAAAAGAGGACGAGGTCACTAAACATCTCAGGTGAGAACGGCCTCTATTCCTGGAAAAAATGGAATTTGGCTAGAGGAAGTA